AGCTCCTCGCTCATGACTCCTCTGGAAGCTCCTCGCTCATGAATCCTCTGAAATCTCCTCGATCATGACTCCTCTGGAAGCTCCTCGCTCATGACTCCTCTGGAAGCTCCTCGCTCATGACTCCTCTGGAAGCTCCTCGCTCATGACTCCTCTGGAAGCTCCTAGATCATGACTCCTCTGGAAGCTCCTCGATCATGACTCCTCTGGAAGCTCCTCAATCATGACTCCTCTGGAAGCTCCTCGATCATGACTCCTCTGGAAGCTCCTCACTCCTCTGGAAGCTCCTCGATCATGACTCCTCTGGAAGCTCCTCGATCATGACTCCTCTGGAAGCTCCTCGCTCATGATTCCTCCTCACTCCTCGCTCATGACTCCTCTGGAAGCTCCTCAATCCTCGCTCATGACTCCTCTGGAAGCTCCTCGCTCATGACTCCTCTGGAAGCTCCTCACTCCTCGCACATGACTCCTCTGGAAGCTCCTCGCTCATGACTCCTCTGGAAGCTCCTCACTCCTCGCTCATGACTCCTCTGGAAGCTCCTCGCTCATGACTCCTCTGGAAGCTCCTCGATCATGACTCCTCTGGAAGCTCCTTGCTCATGACTCCTCTGGAAGCTCCTCGCTCATGACTCCTCTGGAAGCTCCTCGATCATGACTCCTCTGGAAGCTCCTCACTCCTCGCTCATGACTCCTCTGGAAGCTCCTCGATCATGACTCCTCGCTCATGACTCCTCTGGAAGCTCCTCGCTCATGACTCCTCTGGAAGCTCCTCGATCATGACTCCTCTGGAAGCTCCTCGATCATGACTCCTCTGGAAGCTCCTCGCTCATGACTCCTCTGGAAGCTCCTCGCTCATGATCGCTCATGACTCCTCTGGAAGCTCATCGATCATGACTCCTCTGGAAGCTCCTCAATCATGACTCCTCTGGAAGCTCCTCGCTCATGACTCGTCTGGAAGCTCCTCGATCATGACTCCTCTGGAAGCTCCTCACTCCTAGCTCATGACTCCTCTGGAAGCTCCTCGATCATGACTCCTGTAGAAGCTCCTCACTCCTCGCTCATGACTCCTCTGGAAGCTCCTCGATCATGACTCCTCTGGAAGCTCCTCGATCATGACTCCTCTGGAAGCTCCTCGCTCATGACTCCTCTGGAAGCTCCTCGGTCATGACTCCTCTGGAAGCTCCTCGATCATGACTCCTCTGGAAGCTCCTCACTCCTCGTGGTGCAAATAGAGAATGGAGATGTCCTTCAAGATGGCTGAGCTCGATCCGTTTCCAGGTCATAGGATGGAGGACGGAGGAGTGAGGAGACGAGGAGGGATATTTAGAAGCACCCAATGTCTCTCATAGGGTCTTTCTTCTCACTTTGTTTTTTTGTTTTGCATAATCTTTATTTATTAATAAAGTTTATTAAAGTTCACTGCAAATTCAGATGTGCATACCTACAGTTTGAGGAGTCCGATTGCACCAGGAAAATAAAAGAGAATAATCTTTTTGGTATTCTTCCTGTTTATCTGACATGATAAAATTCCAATGCAATGGATTTATTATGCATGATGAACGGATGCCTGTGACGGTGGATCCAATTTCAATATATATGAGGACCTTTTTCATTTCTGCGGTTTCATACTGCATTTCTCTTCTCTGACCATCGTATTCAGTTGAACGCCAGACACTGGATTCTTACATTTAAAAGGAGGTCAAAATAAACCTGCATTTTGGCATAACATTAAACTTACAAATGAAATGCATATGTTGTTTCATGAATGAACGGCACTGGAGTAATGTGAGATTACAGGAGATCAATAACATTGTAATTTATTTCATGGTCAGACCATAAAATATTTTTAGATCATTTTGCTAACAGGAATAAACAGATCTGATTTGAACACACTCTCTGTAATGTTGAGGTTGGCATTGTGAACATCCTTCAGAACTGAACAGATTTGTGTGAGGGTTAGATTTAGAGCAAATAATTAGCTCAATATAAAAACAATACATTTTCAATGTGAAATCCCACTATATAAAAGTGTGTGTGTTTGAATTATTAAGATGAGTGCAGTGCAGTTATGGGGTTGAATGGGAAAATAATTCAATCAACAAATAAAAATGCACTCATTAATATTTAATTCGTTCTATAGCTCAAACCACACACACACACACACACATCCAAATGTGGACATTTTACAGGCTTCTATTGTTTTACAGATAATTATCACCATAGTCTAAGAAACATGTTTAAAAAGCAAATGTTTTTAAGTCCACCAGATACTGAACCACATTTATTTTCTATACAGTTTTGTGTATATGGACATGATATTGTTTTGCATATGTAAAGAAAAGTTATTATTTGCTAACAGTTTACTTCAAAGCAACTTTATTCAATCAAGTTATTTTGTCTAATTTCAGTTCAGTTTAGTTCATACATGAAGTATTTGAATAGAGATAACATGTGCATTTTGTGGAACCACAACTATCCGTAATTGAAGTTAAGTCAAAGACAAGTAATTATTCATTATACACTTTGTTAATCTTAAAATTTTATTAACTGCAGAGCACAAAAACATGCAGACAAAAAATAAATAAAAAGACCGTCAAATCTGTGGCATCTGTGCTTGTGATTCAGCCTCAGTTTCATTCCGTTACAATTCAAGAAATTATTTGTGAAATGTTCATAGATTAATAGTACTAAATAACCAGACTGGCAGACCAATAACAGGCCATCATAAGGTTTCATAAATGCTTGTCAGAAGTGTTTATTTGAGGAATCACTTCAGTAAAGTCTCAGTTCTTGAGTAAATGGCTGGTCTGACGACAAGCAGGACTGAAGGAGTGTACAGAAAACACAACACTTCGGCCTTTGTGTGAGCCAAGACACGTTCTGGTATTAGTATTTTTTTTTATGGTGACAGTGAAGGTCACGAACAAATGCATACATGACTAAATCATACAGCTTTACTTGGCCAGTTTAACCAATGGTTTTTTTGATTGATGGTAACTGATTCACACAAAGAAATGTCATCACTTACCGTTCATGTCAATGCAAATCCAACATTTCTTCTGTTAAAACAAAAAAGGGGCTAAAAAAGCTTGAATGATAATGATAGTAATGAGAACTATTATAAAATGGTCCATAAAATGGTAAATTACTAATTGCTTTTTTGTCAATATAATTTCAATACTTAATGTGCACATTTTTTACAATTAACTTAATATAGGCTATATATATATATATATATATATATATAGCCTATACTGTATATACTGTATATATATATATATATATGTATATATAGAGGCCTACACAGTAAATTTTGCAGTGTTAAATTAGCTCTATAAGAGTTAAATTTAACACTTGGTCCGAGTGTATTTGGTCCCACTCAGATTTGGTGATAAATTGACTCTAGTCATGGTGTTAAATTTTCAGAGTAAAATTAACTCTATTATGAGTAAAAATTCAACACTGCTCTACACTGAACAGTGTTACCACAGTTTAACACTAGGGGGAAATTAACTCTGTTTGGTGTTACCACAGTTTAACACTAGGGGGAAATTAACTCTGTTTGGTGTTACCACAGTTTAACACAAATCGGAAATTAACTCTTATTGGTGTTAATATTTCACTAATGTAGAGTTTATCTAAATTTTTAATAGTGAAAAATTCTCGCTCAGAGTAAAAATCTTAAAACCCATTTGTGGTGCAACAGGTGAGTAAGTGTCAGTATTTCTCTTTGTGGTGTAAGTAGTAAAACAATTAATCTTCTACAATGTCAAATTAACTCTTAAAACAAGTTTTCAAAAACAAAGAAAACAACTTCAACAATGTCACATTTAAAACATTTATTAAAACAACATTCAGGCTCAGGAAACACTCATACATTAACAAAAATACATCACATCTGCATTAAATGGCAATACGGCACTACATGCAGTGCAGAATCTGTTGTACCATATTTCATCTGAAGATCAAATGGTTTGAAAGAACACAGCTCATTAACATTCACTACCTTAAAAACTCTGTCTGGATGCAGTCTGACTGTAAATGCATGGTAATGGTCATCAAAACATATAGTTTCCATCAGTGTTCCACACAACAACACATTTTCGTCTTTCACAGCAATGGTCTTGATCTTACAAAACACTGGCATCTCACATGCTACTTCTGTACAGATAATAAAGTCCGGGCGATACTCAGTGCCGTGGTGTTTGATCCACTTTACAGAATAGACAGCTTCTGACATTACCACTCCTAGTTTGGAAGCGATCTCTTGGCCACATTTAAGTTCAGAGAGTTCTAACATTTTTCCTGGGCCAAGAGACAATCTGTACTGGCTAAAAGACTCCCAGTACGTCGCAATACAAAATTGGTGCTTTTTGGCTAGTGTTTTGGTGATGTTTTTGAAACTTTTTAATTGCGTTTTAAAAAATTTGTGTTTAGCTTCATAACGCATACACCACGTGTGAAGAATTGGTCCAATTTTTCTTATACACTGTGGGTAATGTATCATTATATGATGCTTTGGCAAAAGATTTCTTTCAGGAAATAATTTTTTGAATAGCTGGTGATGTTCAATTATTAAAAATTTAAGATAAATGGTCATGCCTTCTGTCAGGACTGGTGAAAATACAATGTTGACTATCTGCAAAAGTAAAAGCAAAAGATGCCAGTGTTGATCATCTCTTTGGACTAAATCACCAAATAATAGGGGCATATTGCGCAACAAGCACCAAGATTGTATTGCATTTAAACCCAAATTGTTGCTTCCATCAAACAATTTGACCACTGGAGGACGGTTCCTCTGCTGATTGTAACCATAGTCAAAAGCATGTACTCTACCAGCAATATCATCAGCGCTCAGAAAATTACACTGAATGTACTGCAGAACAAGTTTTACTTCTAGCTGAGCAACTCCTTCTAGAATGTCGTGCATTATATCCACTGCGAAATTGTTGGCTGTGTTGAAATACTTGAGTGAATTTAACAAACATGTCCGTTTGACACCATAAACATGGGGTAGTGTAGAATTAGTTTGTAAAGTTTCACAGTGCAGAGCATGCATCTCAGATGTTCTTAGTACAACCTCAGGATTATCTTCACAGAACACAGACTGAAAGCGATCTTTCTCAAGAAGACAGAAACGACAGCAATATCGAGCCCCAAATGACTCGAGAAACCCAAACAAGCCGTGCAAGCCCAGATTATCTCCAGTGACTTGAACAATAGTACCCCTGATACAACTTCCAGTTACTGGATTCTTAACCCCCTCAATCTCAAGTACTTTCAAATCATTAACTAGAGGCTCAAGTATAGAATTAAAACCATAGCGCCTAATATCCTGTGCATGAAAGAGGGCACATAAATGAATATTCACCAATGAGGAGTTAAAAACTGGGGGGAAATTTCTTAATGTAAAATAGATAGCACCTAATTTGTGTATGCCCCTTTTGGATCCCAAAGGATTAGCGGTCTCAAAATCATCATAAAATAGCTGAATTTGTAAGGCATCCTTTTCTGCATAAAATAAAGGATTACTTTTAAAATATGCTGCATCACTTAAGTCAACATAAATGCCTTCTTTTGGAACATGCCTGGGTTTAAACAAATCAGTAAGTTGCGGATTTTGTAAAATTGCCTTCAATGTTTCGAAAATGGGAATATAAGCAAATTTATCAGTTACAACAACCTGATCAAATGTTCCTGTGGTTTTATTTCTCCTGCTGTCAAATCTTGTGCCAAGCACGATTTCGCTTGGTTCAATAATTCCCCACTTTTCCATAAAGAGTCTCTTTCGCTTGGTTTCAGAATTTAGCAAAGTAAATGGATTTTCCAAGTTTTGAAATGAATGTTCTAGCTTTCTTTTAGTAGCAGTGTCCTGTGAAGGCAGGCAGAGCAAGGCTGCATCCTGGGCCTGACTATGAATCTCAGAAACCATTTCCTCCATAGATGAAACAAAACCATTTATAGCAGATTGACTTAATCCAGCAACTTTTAGTTGTGCAACAGCAGACGCACACATATTGAAAGTGCTCTTATTTGACGTTAACAATACAGATGTTGTAGCCACCTCTCCGGCACTGCCAATCTGATCAAATACTTCAGAATTACTTGGTCCATCTGCCTTGGCAGTCTCATGGCTATCAGTGGTGTCAAAATTATGCTCACCGTCACTTTGCTCAGCATGTTTTGTGTGCAGATGTTTCCTAAAACCTGAAAAAGTACCGAACACAGAACCACAACCTGCTTCTATGCATTTAAGGCGAAGATTCTTCCCAGGAACAAAACCATGAACTAATCTGAGGTGCCTAAGAAGCATTTTTGAACCATTTGAATCAGCTTGACATACAAAACACTTCATGGGGGCAGGAAAAACGTAAGGGACCTAGCTAAGCAGCCTTGCTCTGACCTCAGCAACACGAGGACTCTCTTTCACTTTCCCAACATCTATGTTGTACACAGTGGTCTGAATGAAAGTGTACATGTTGTGTAGCATAGTGTTGTAGGAGGTACCAAAAACAAAGTGTGCCTTAAACAGTTCGTCAAAGGCACCAAGAGAAGAGGTTGAATTGCATGGAATGGCATGCTGATCGAGGATGATGAAGTACTGGTGAACTGATTTCTTCTGAGGTCCCACAGCCAGGAGATAGGGCTGAGCACTAGCAGTGATGTTTCGAAGATGCTCCTCAATGTTTGTTCCACTCTGAGAAGACCAAGCAAATTGAAGAGAACCATCACTGATGTGTTAAATAAAAGAAACTATGATGAAAAAAAACAACAACAACAAAAAACAAACCTTCTTGAAGACAACAAGATGTTTCTCTGCTTGAGAAGCAGACACCTTTCCTGGTCTCTTTCGGCCTTGGGCAGAAGGTGGGATCAGATGCAACAGCAGTAGTATAGAAGAGAGGTCAGTGTCCCAAACTGTTTAGAATTAATTATGTTAGCAAAACCTCATCAATAATGAAAATTGACACTAAAGAATAAATATTAAAAACATTTATGGGAACTAAATAAATAAAATGTACTGCCAGGCCAAAAAAAAAGGTCGCTGTTTGGATTTAAAAAGTCTATGATTGGATCATCATTGCAGTGATTATGTTTCTATCATGTTATGTGTTTGGGAACAGTTCTTTTAAACCATAATTGGAGTGTGTAGCTTTTCATTTCTTAAACAACCATGTAGGAAGACATATCATGGCTAACTATTCTAATCTAACTTCCAAACTATTCTTTCACAATTTGAGCCTGATGAATCTTCACATTCAATCCTGGATTATGGCCATGATGTGCCTTCATAATTGTTTAGGAATGAAAAGCTACACACTCCATCAATTATGGTTTAAATAACTGTCCCCAAACATATAACATGATACAAAAATAATCACTGCAATGATGATCCAATCATACTCTTAAGCATTTGACTATCTAAATCCCAACAGCGACCTTTTTTTGGCCAGGCAGTGTTTTAAATGAATATTACTAAAATGACCTAAGTATTAAATTAATCTTAAATATCTTACCAAAATTAACACCTTCTTCTGAGTCATCAGATGGAGATTCAGCTGCTAGCAGGAGTTCTCCAACATCACTGGTGGTTGGAAGCTTTTTGCACTGCTGAATCACTTTTTTCTTGAATGCAGTCGTCCACTTCTCCAGTAGCTTGCCTGACACTCCTTCTCCAAACATCAGAACAAAGTCTTGCTCAATCTAAGAAGGGGAATCATTATTAGATGTAAACCCTGAACATACTAATTTTTAGAAAACAGCCATGCATTTCTAAAAATCCTTAAATCTTGGATTATAAAGACTTTACTTACCAAGCCTTTAACGTCTTTGAAACGTGGAAAGACTGTCAAAATATCACTTGACTGCATAGGGTCCAGAACCATGTTGCGGCGATAGTCAAATGTCAATTTCATCTTCTTCTTGACTGCGTCCTCATCAGCAGAATGGTTCATGAATGCAATTGCTTCCTTGCATTCATCCTCACTCAAGACAGTCTCCGGAGTAAACTCTGACTCCCGTCTTACAGTTGGTCCACCAGACATCCCCTCAACAGACAATCCTTGTCCTGATGAATAAAGCATTTTAGAACCTTCAACACTGCATAAAGATGATAACTATATAGAGTTCATACTAAAAAATAAAAAAAAGGTAAAAGAGGCTCATCTTTATACAAATTAAAATGTCAGTTAAGGCAACTCAATAGCAACAAAACTTCAAAACTGTGATAGATGGCACAATGAGCTATGAAAAAAAAGTAAAAAAGGTGATTTCTGAATTTCATTCTGTACCATCAAATGATGCTCTTCGTTCTTTAGCCAGGCCTCTTTGTATAGTTTTGATTCTCCATGCCAAGTACCCAGTGCCACTCTCACCATCATAGTAATGCTCCTTAGAAAGACAAAAATACATAAAGAGAAAAAAAGTCTTAATTCAAGAGCAAAATACATCACCTGTATTGTGTGTGATCATCAGCATTTAAGACATGTGAACACAAAATAAAAATAACAAAATGGTGTGATACTTACGTAGCCTTTTTTGGACAAGGGGTCACGGAGGTAAGGGAACAAAGACACAATTCCTCTGGCATATTTTTCTTTAACCTGCCTTGGTGGTGATGTACTGTATAATAATAATAAATAAATATATAAATAAAATCACCTATCTTTAGCACAGGTTAAAAAAACTTTTATGGAACTACATTGAGAGATCTTATATACACCAGTTAAAGATATGCAGATTACCCATTCTTTTCTGTCATGTCAGCTGCCAGGATGTTCACCATTTTCCTCCTCGTTTCATCTCCCAAAGTCTTAAATCGGTTGTATTCATTTATTATATGCTCCCCACCAGGTTTATGGACAAGAATGGATTCCACCAACTTAATAAAAAAGGCATAAATATGGCATGTTAAAGTACAAAACATTACCTGAAACAAAATATGTAATAATAATAAAAAAAAGGCTATTATTTCAGATTGATGAATTTTACAACTTCGATGCCCACCTTTTTAGCTTCATCATCTAGTCTCATTCTTTTACTTGAAGAGCTTTCTTCAATAATTACTGTATCCTGTGAGTCAGTGGAGTCAATTGATGAAGACAGGGACACATTTAACTGCACAGGAGAGGCTTGTGGAGAGGCAGATTCCAAGTCTAGTTGAATATAGGGTGGTAAAAGTCTTCATGATACTAATAAGCAAGCACTGAGAAAATTGATAGAAAGTAAATAAAAAAATATACAAACCTGCACCATGTTTTATGGTGAGAACACCAACTGAGGGATCTTTAACTATATCCTCAAAAACATCCTCATCCACCTCAGTCCCCGATTCATCAACAACCTTCACATTCTCGGGTACAGTTGGGACACCAAACTTTAAAAAAGCTGGAAATAAAATGTATGCCAATTAATGAGAAAGGGTATACATTACAAGGTTGATCAGTTACTTGTTGGTAACTCTGAACATCAGAGCAAATGTAAGATGTGACAGTATTATAAAATACAATTACCAAATACCAACCAATTAGAGATGCACCGATTGATCGGCCGGTGACCGGAATTGGCCAATTTTCACGTGATCGGCCATTTTTTCTAACCACTTTACTGCACGCAAATATTTATTTTCTATCTTTTCTTTATTAGAATGAATTATTTAATAAAATCAAATGTTTCATTGCTGATGAATCAGCCTTTTGAATTAATCATTGGAATGAATGATTCAAGAACAAATACATTTTTCCAGTCTCTTGGTGCCACCTTGTGGCATAACGATGTAATTGGTACAAACTTAATTTGAAGTGTAAAGAAGGTGATTTGCTCGATTTTTATACCAGTGTTTATATCAAGACATTAAACGTTTATCCCAGTACTTCAGTGATTAATTTTAATTTTAATATTTACAACACAGAAACAAGGATTCGATGGATGCGTGTTTGAAAAGACTGAATGCGTTTCACACAGCTGCTCAGAGTCAGCAGCATAAAAAACGCATATTTGAATCAAGAACATGATATTTAAACGATTTATCGCTATAAAAGTATATATTTTTCTTACCAGCAGACAAAAATTCCTTCAGGCTCAGCTCGGATATTTTAACAAATTTTTGGCCATCCCCAAGTTTCACCTTAACCAACATGCTCTGTAATAAGAAACACAGTTTTACACAAATGACAGTGGAAACGCGTTTTGTGCCTATAACAAATAAATAAGTAAATACATTCTGGTGCAACAGTTTGTATAGTCACCAGTATTTTAAACTAACGTTAGGTCTTCTTTGAATTTAAACATGGCCATTTCGACGGGCGGCTAATACATTGCAGATAATTCATCGTTTAAAAATAACAATATACAAATAATCTGTATATAACAATACCAACTGTAACCAACAGAAATACAAATTATATAAGATAATTTACATCATTCTACATTTATTAACACATTGTGACGAAAAAATATTTCTCCATCAGATGAACTCACCGCGAAGTTGTTCCATTCGGAGTTTGAACGGATCACATTACACAAAGTTCATCAAACTACAACATATACAGTAATATTACACATTTATTCACATAAAATAGTTTTAACGTGTTACTTAAAAGAGCTTACCATTCGGTGCGATGTAGAAGAAAATGGCGACGACCACGAGGAAATTCAAGTCTGATCTGGTGAGATTGAGGGGCGGAGCTTAACAGAGTAAAGTTACCGAGACAATTTAACTCTGATAATTTTCACCAACACTAGGGGGTATCTTTCACTATTTGTTGTTAAATCAACTCCTTAAGAGTAAATGTAGTGTAACACTGATTGTTTAACACTGTTAGTTTTACTGTGTATATATATTTTTTTATTTTTTTAACCTTTTTTTCTTGTTCACTTGCTTTTATGCTGCCATTGTGATTTTTTTTTTCATGCCAGTAAAACTGAAAATTGAAATCCAGATTGGCTAAATCATCTTTCTCCATTGACAGTCAATCAGCCGTGCATTCGAACAAAATTCTATGACCTGTATTTTTCGAGTAGCATTTCCATGCATGTCTTCGCTTTCTCATCCGTTTCTACCACTTTCTGTCTGTCTTTGAGTGAGTTGGTGAAGTGTGTGATGAGAACAGGGATGCAGTGTCTGGGTGACTTTAAATCAGTCATTAGCTTACACTACGGAGAGAGTAAACGAGCGCTAAAAGCTTATCAGGAGGCAGACAGACGCCTACATAAGCTACATTTTTTACTATATTACTTTAGATTAATGTAAAATTAATTATAAAAATTTTAGTAATGCATTGTTATCCTTATTGTAACTTAGCATGCTAATCCACACGTACATATCACTGCTTATCGGTGATTTACGAGGTCCATTTCATAGGATGTTATCTCAGTGTATAAGGCACTCACTGGGGTTTGCAACAGAGACTCACTCTTCAGTTCATTCACCGAGCAGACGAGATACATGAAGACGGATACTTTCAATTAAAAACTCAGACTCAAAGTAAATAAACAACTTACATGAATCCCGTGACTTCCGTTGGCAGCATGGCGCGCGTGACCGCGTTAATATTCACATGAACACTTCGATTATAAACACACAAGAAGCATTATCACACACATTTGCTAGATTATGTGGAGCCACAGGCCAAACAAACTGTTTGCCATCAATTAAACACATTATAAACACTGACAGATCGTTGAGGGGACACGAGGGAAATGGGAGTCGGTTGGAGGACGATACGAACTGGACAATATCAGTCGGCAAATGGAGATTTAAAACAATATCTCAGATATTTCTGTCATTCTTAGCAGTGTAAACAACGATATGACCGCATATATCGAGCTAAGTCCAAACTATTTTTTTTTAGCCTATAACATTTCCGGTGATTTACCAGACCTCACGTAAAAAGCAAATGTTTTATCGTTGCAAATGTATAAATTCTCTATTTACAATCAGATTAATTTATTCCACGAGTGAAGGACTGCGTCTCAGACTCGATTGAGTAGCCTATTTATTTTGAACAAGTATGGCCGCTTAAAAAGTAGGCCTGTGTTCTATATGAGTGTGTACTAGGGCTGCGTTCCAGTCCAAAATTGTCATACCCTTCACTCGCTAACTTCCCTCCGTCTTCGGATATACGTCATTGCTTACATTGCACGAGTGCCACTACTGGCGGAAACTGCAATGGGCTGAACTGGAACGTCCTAAGCCCTTGATCACTTGGAATCAGCTATGGAGTTGATTTATCATTTACATTTTTTGGTTTCACTTTATTTGGATGGTCCCTTTAACACATTCAGTTGACTATAAGTAACGTTGCACCTACATCTCTACTAACTCTCACTAGAGTGTTAGTAGAGTATTAGTAGACTGGTAGGGTTAGGGATAGAATAAGTTGACATGTAGTTGCAAAGTTACTTATAGTCAGTAGAATGTCTGTTGGAGGACCATCACAATAAAGAGTTGGCAGATATTAAGCAGACAGTCTACTAATACTCTAATGAGATGTTGTTGACATGTACTTGCAAAGTTACTTATAGTCAACAGAATGTTAAAAAGGGACCATCAAAATAAAGTGTTACCCATTTTTTTCCTTTAAGAATTTGTTTAATGCAGCATCCAAATGTATATAGGTGTGCTTGGGTTGTTATAAATTAAAAATATATATAATTAATATATCAGAGTTGTTTGTGGTGGTGGTGATTATGGTGCATTCAAGTCATCTCGTATAGATCTTATTTACGAGTTGAACGCACTTGAACGCCACCACAATGTCGTAAATACCGGGGAGTTCGGGATTTTCTCTAAGCCCCGATCTTTCCGAGTTGTGGGCGTGTCACTGAGAAACATGGCGGAATACCACAATACTTAAATATTATGCAGTGATATTGTCAAGGTTTTCTTATTTACAGCGCAGTTAAGCGAATTTCCTGCACAGAATATGATGGCATTATAATATAACAGTGCAACATGTAACGATAAAGTTGGCAGTTGCTTCATAAATTAATTAAAAACATAAAAAAACAAAGTACATCCGATGCACATTTCTTTGTTCTTCATTGTCTAGAACAAGAGTTTAAGAACCTTACTGTATTTTTGTGTAATTAATTAAGAGAAAGTACTCCGCCATCTTCCTCCAACGAAAGTGACTTGAACGCACTGCCGTCGTAAACACGACTTCCCACCTCGTACGTACGAACTTCCCCAGGAGGACTTGAACGCACCATTAGACGAGATCTGCGGTGACGTCACAATTGTGTTGCATTGTGGTATATGGAGCTGCCTGAAGTGTACATATGAAGTAGACTCGATCGCTCCCTCGGTCAAAATCGAGGAAACGAGGAGGGTCTGTCCATATAAACTTCCCTCGTCCACTTCACGAAGTGGAACGCACTTTAAAATGGCGGCAGGGATTCCCCCGAGGGGAAGTGCTTAGGGAAGTTCGCAAGTGCGTGTCTAAAAGTGGACTGGAACGCAGCCTTGAATGAATGTAATCTGGACACACTTTGTTCACCATGTTGTCATTATCATGTGACCTATAGCGTCTGTTCCCTTCCATTCACAAATCATTCAGGTACTGTTTGCCTACTCTTGTATGAGTAGTTCAGACATACTTCTCTTGTCATATACAGTTTTTCGGATGCAGTCACGGTGTCCAATAACTGAAGCGTTACTGGGATGAATCAAGACTCGAGTATTATCCGGCTGGTCATGTGATTCACCCATGAGGTCACCAGCTCACTGTAAGATAAAGCCTTTTTTATTAGTCTACCAGGGTCTTCATCGCTTAAACCCATTTGAAACAGATTTCTCAAAAGTACTCGCATATTAATTTATCCAAGGCAGAACCCTTCAGTTCGTCCATTTAGGCTAAGATGGCAAATCGGTTTTGTCACATTTAAATCTGCTGGTTGTTTGTGAGTTTTGATCATGATATCTGTGTTGTTTTCACAAAGGTCTTTATTTACAGTCTAATTTGAGGATGTGATGACATTAACGCCTCTAGAGAAATAGCATACAAAATTCAAGCTGAATGATATGAAATGAATAATCTTGATGGTTGATCAAGAGTAAATTAATCAGTTCACTTCAGAATAAAATTTTCCTGATAATTTACTCATCCCCCTGACATCCAAGATATTCATGTGGTAGCCTATTTGTTGTTAAAAAGGATATAAATGTTAAATTTTTTTTTATAAAATGAGAGAGAGAGAGAGAGAGAGAGAGAGAGAGAGAGAGCTTCGGCAAATGACCTGAGAACAGAATTAATGAAGGGGGAAGAAGAGGTCCCTCACTTCAGCAGGTCTTTACTACAGTGTGTGTGTGTGTGTGTGTGTGTGTAGTTCCCAGAGATCTCCATATGAAACAGTAAATCAAACCGATCCACAACTAAACATCCAGGCTCAGGGAGTTTTATTTTCACTTTCCTTTCGATGTCTGCGTCTTTTTTCCTCCCTCTTCACTTTATGTTCTCACAGGCAATAACAAAAGTGATTTACACATGTACCGTAATTCAACTCTTCCATACAAAGTCTTTCCACAAAGCACAACATAACACTCAAATGAAGCAGATGCGCGATCACGATCACATGACGTCAGGACTCCACACGAAGCTCCGTGTTTATGATGCTGCATTATTCACACATGAAGCTTTAGATACATCGTCATTTTAGATTTAGCTGTCAGGTTTGAACTAAATCAATCTCATCTTTTAAATGTGAATCTTATAAACATAAAAAAATGTAAATGATTAGCAGCATCTTTAACATCTTTAAAGGTTTGGCTTCTGATTGGTCAATGCAGTGTTATGTAAATCAGAAACACCGGCTCATTACTGTTCATTTGTAATGTGACTGACTATTCATATTTAATCTGACTATTTTTGGTGCACAGCAACGTTCTGTTATAGGGACTAAATCTTCAAGCAGAAGGATGGCATTTGACACTAAACTACTTGTTTTATAAACCCTTCAGTCTCTTGAGGTTGTTTTATATTGTGAATACACTTGCATGCCGCTTTATAACACCCTTTGGCAATATACTCATATACTTATATAATCTCTCGTATACTCATATATATTTCAGCTGCAGCTGTCAAGGTGTAATTTCTCATTATCATTCAATTTAACTTTACTAAATAAACATTTTATTTGTTTATTAAATAAACAAATAAAAATGATTAAAAATGACAAAAAACAACAAAATGTTAATTGAAAATAAAAACAAAAATTACACAAATAAAAACAAATTCAGTAACGTATACAATAAGGTCTCATTTAATAAAATTAGTTAATATATTAACTATGTGAACTATTTTTTTTACAACATTCATTAATCTTTGTTATTGTTAGGTAATAAAAATATGGTTGCTCATTATTGGTTCATATTAGTTCACAATGCATTAACTAATGTTAATAAATACAACTATTGATTTAAAAAATCTATTAGTAAATGTACATTAAGATTAATAAATGCTAGAAGTGTTGTTCATTTTTAGTTCATGTTAACCAATGTAGTTAACAAATGAAACCTTATTGTAAATTGTTACCACTAATTCAAAAATCTTAATACAATGTATAATAATTACTCATTTGTATAAAATAACATTCTAGGATCACCAATCCAAACCAAAACTGGGTTTCTGAAGCAAAATCATATAAAGAAATGCTGCTTTAGATCATATAACTGTGATTTTAAGTGATGCATATTCATAAATATTGATTTTCATAATTTAACAACCGCCTCTAGTACCTTACGGCTTCAGTAAATAACGCATCATGAACAGGGAGAGTGTTTCAGTCTTGCAAGTTAAAATATCCTGTCTTCACTTAAATACGGATATTTTGTAAGTAAATAATCCCAGAAGCCTACAGGACATTCACATGCTCTCAATTGAGCTGCTTTTTTCCCCGTCCCAATGAATTGTGGGTAGTGTGTAAGAATGGCACGTCAGTGAAGTGTGTGGATACACATATAGCATGTAAACAGTAGCTTTACACTGTACGCTTCCAATGCGGATCTGCTTGCATTTGACACTGTTTATTAAAGCATCTGGTCACGATACCAAGCGAACAGCCCATGTGAAACACCAAACTCAGGGTTACTGATGCAGAGCCAATGATGATGATGTCCGTGGTTAGTGAAACAGAACTGAATTCTGGACGGCTCGCAGCAGTGTGAGTGTTTTGGTGAGCGTTTCTTAAAGGACGACCCAAAGAAAGCGATTTTAACTCCTGAGAGGGTAAATAACCAAGTGTTTTCATTGGCACTGAATGAGAAGTGGCTTGTTGTTCCTTCATAATGAGGCAAAAGCAGCTTTCCAGACCCTTCACCCTCTCTGGTGGAATAAGCTGAAACGCAGAAACCAGCGCATCCTTCTTTTCTCTTCCCTGCATTTCTCCGCAGCTCTAGTTTGTTTCCTAACCCAACTAATCCAATGAAGATGGCATTGTATACTGAGAATATTGTTCTGCTTATGCTCTATTGTAAGTCACTTTGGATAAAAGCGTCTGCTGAATACGTAACTGTAATTGGTTGGGTGGTTTCTAGGTGGTTGCTCAGTCAAAAGAGTAATAACCCATAACCCAAATGAAAGCACCAATAATTACTACTGTTCAGTAGGGCTGTCAAATAATAAATTTGAATTTCGAATATTCGTCGAATATAAAAACAAAAAGGTGCACATTCGAATGCAAAAACCGTGCATTCGAATTTTTGGTGTCAAGAGGCGCGCGAGACATGATGATGATGATGATGATGTAACTGACACGGTTTGTTTTTGTTAGCTCATCCAGTACAGCGCTTCGCGGCTGCGCTGTTAATTTGAAAAATGGCGGAAAAAGAAATCGTGCAACGACATACTTTTACCTGCACATCGGTCGGAGCTGAGCGTGTGTGTTCATCAGCTGAAGACAACACAGTACTTTTCCTCAAGCATTAAGTAATGCCTTTAGAATTCGAATATAATTTGAATTTTGCTAATATTTAAGAAAGAAATTCGAATCAGCCATTTTGACAGCCCTACTGTTTAGTCATTTACCAACTCAGGAGACAGTTTCGGCTTGTTATTATTAAAGGATCCACAGCTGCATAATTTCTCACGATAGAAGCCGCTTTTCAATAAAAAAAGTCTGTATCTGGAATGTACCGTCATTTCCATTGACCCATTAGTGTTAAAACATCCGTCAGCATCCCGTTCCTCAAACGTTAGTTTCCGCCACCCCCGCTGAGCACTCGCTGTTGAGGGGACGCTCTTCCAGACAGATGTCTTCGGTCAGAGAGCTGCAGTTACTGGCGCCCTCCTGTGGCTCGGAGGACATCTGCAGTCTCGCTCGTCCTCTGCTCCGGCTCCCCCCGTTCTGAAGACACGACACCAGGCGCTGGGACTCAGCCGAGACCGTGCTCGCCGCCTCTGGGGTGCCGGGGCACTCGTGGGCCATCGCCGGGGCCATGCTGCCACTTTTGGCGTGGGGCGTCTGGCTGTGGGTGTGCCGGTACTCTTCCTCGATGTCCTTGCCCAGTTTCCACCTCTTCCACTTCTTCAGCATCTCGCTCTGGACCTGGAGAGCAGGAGACACAGCCTGAGTCCAAGGACTTACCAGGGGTGCGTTTCCCCAAAGTATCGTTAACCAACTTTCGTCAGTCATTATCAGCATAGTTCAACAAGTCGGTGTTTCCCGAAAACCAACGAACATTCGCAAACAGCATCGCAAAGTTGTGTGTTTGGAATGACAGCTCTCGACCTGTGGTTAGAAGCAGTTTTTTTTGTTTGCATGACATGTGGACTCAATAAATCCTTGTCTTGAGTCAAATAAGCAAGCTATCCAAGTAAAATCTTTATCTTTTATTTAGAATACACCCAGCTGGCATTCGACTGACATTAAACGTTTAAATGTGGTTGAAATAATGTCAGTTTATGAAAAAAACATTAATTCAACGTTAAAACAATGTTGAACACCAAATAGTTGTGTTGTTGACGCACTACGGATTCAACATAGAAATATCAAAAAATGTTGAGTTGTACGTCAAATCAACATTATTTTTACAACCATGACTTTTAAACATTTTGTTGAAATATATCAGTAGAAAAATAACGTTGTTCCAAAATCCAATTTGCGAAATCTAAACAAAATTCAACGTTTATCCAACACTGGCACCTGGCGTTGATTCAACAGTGACTCGACGTTAAAATGCCAGCTGGGCATACAAATGTCATTTACGTCATTTAGTTTGTCAATCTAAAGCACCTTTTATGTAAAGTGCGCATGTGCGAGCGTAAGAACGAGCCTATGATTGAATCTGGAAATCACTGAGAAAAATGAGAAATATTCCTCAGATGTCATGTCTGTAATTTATAGCAAAACATCCAGCGTTAATTCGGTCTCAAACAGATTCATTAAAGAAAGTTATTACTCCACCACAGGCGTGACATCATTAACCGGTTGAACGACCAACCATGCGGTTTCGGGAAACAGTCGTGACTAGCGAGTTGGTTTCTTCAACGATTGCGTATATTTTCTAAAATGGTCAAATTTCATATTCCACCGAATAATGTAATAATGTTTCATATTGGTATGCTATTTGTATTTATTTGTTGCAATTTTGCAGCTCTCTTGAGCAGGGTTATTATAGTTAAATAAAACAAATACATTTTCATTACTTTGAATAAAATAAGCGTTAACCGATTTACTCAACCTTTAACTTTAACCAAATTGAAAATATAAATATAAAAACTAACCCATAATATAAATAAAACAATAATAGTACCCCAATGATACAAAAAAAAAAAAAAACACTGGTCTTGGGTCAACAATCAAGTCCAAAAAAGAAAAAGGAATATGTGTTTCTGAAGCAACACCAGTCGAGAACTGCTGCTTTTCTGTGATTTTGAGAAAGAGAAACATTTCTTACCTCTTTGTTGACAAAGCAGTACAGGATGGCCACGAGCAAACCCTACGGTTACAGAGAACAACACACATGAACCTCCTCCATCTGCAGATAACATCCCATCTCTGTGTGTGTGTGTGTGTGACCTTTGCCCTCTGACCTGGAAGGAGCTGAACAGGAGGTCATAGAAGAGGCGGATCAGCCTCAGAAGAGACTCCTTCGGCACGGACTCATCGATGACGAAGGTGAAGAGGATGGCGTGGATTCCCAGCAGAGGGATGAGTGTGAGCGTGGACTTGGCCAGCCTGAGGAGGTCGAGAGATACACACGTTCAATGAGGCCGTGACGTGTGTTTGTGTGAAATAAAGACGGCGCTCTTCACCTGAACTTATAGTCGGTGTATCTCATCTGATGCGCCTTCAGCTTGGACATCAGAATCTTTATTATACGAATGAATATGATGAAATTAATCTAATCCAGAAGGAAAGACATAGAGAGAGAGAGAGGTTAAAATCATGTGTCATCGTGTGATGTGTGTCATTCAAACGACCCCAATATCTCTGTTTAATTACCGTATAACATGTCAAAAGATAATGCACTATCACACCCTTCACATACACATCAATGTGATCTCATTAATATTCATAGAAAAGGTGAGTTCTTCAGCACACAAATCTGTATGTTTGAAGCCTACAATATCCACATAATATAGCATCTAAGAGGTAAAAACCATTTCATGTGTGTTTATGAAAACAGGCTGATTTTACTGTATTCCTGCATCATATTTACAACTCTGACATTAGAAGAGTTTTAGTTAAATGTATACAAATTAATAAAAAAATATATATAAATTAATAAAACATACATTTATTTCTAAATAAAATGCAATTAATTTATGGCAATTTTAGTTGGTTTTCATGCATGTAAAGAGATGCTCTGATTGGTCAGATGGCCCTGTCTGTTGTGATTGGTCTACTCTGCTCTGATTGGTCAGATGGCCCAGTCTGTTGTGATTGGTCTACTCTGCTCTGATTGGTCAGATGGCCCAGTCTGTTGTGATTGGTCTTCTCTGCTCTGATTGGTCAGATGACCCAGTCTGTTGTGATTGGTCTACTCTGCTCTGATTGGTCAGATGGCCCAGTCTGTTGTGATTGGTCTACTCTGCTCTGATTGGTCAGATGACCCAGTCTGTTGTGATTGGTCTACTCTGCTCTGATTGGTCAGATGGCCCAGTCTGTTGTGATTGGTCTACTCTGCTCTGATTGGTCAGATGGCCCAGTCTGTTGTGATTGGTCAGATGGCCCAGTCTGTTGTGATTGGTCTACTCTGCTCTGATTGGTCAGATGCCCCAGTCTGTTGTGATTGTTCTACTCTGCTCTGATTGGTCAGATGGCCCAGTCTGTTGTGATTGGTCTACTCTGCTCTGATTGGTCAGATGGCCCAGTCTGTTGTGATTGGTCAGATGGCCCAGTCTGTTGTGATTGGTCTACTCTGCTCTGATTGGTCAGATGCCCCAGACTGGGGCAAAAGCAGAGTAGACTGTTGGGATTGCAGACTGTTGTGATTGGTCTACTCTGCTCTGATTGGTCAGATGGCCCAGTCTGTTGTGATTGGTCTACTCTGCTCTGATTGGTCAGATGCCCCAGTCTGTTGGGATTGGTCTACTCTGCTCTGATTGGTCAGATGGCCCAGTCTGTTGTGATTGGTCTACTCTGCTCTGATTGGTCAGATGGCCCAGTCTGTTGTGATTAGTCTACTCTGCTCTGATTGGTCAGACGGCCCAGTCTGTTGTGATTGGTCTACTCTGCTCTGATTGGTCAGGTGGCCCAGTCTGTTGTGATTGGTCTACTCTGCTCTGATTGGTCAGATGGCCCAGTCTGTTGTGATTGGTCAGATGGCCCAGTCTGTTGTGATTGGTCTACTCTGCTCTGATTGGTCAGATGCCCCAGACTGGGGCAAAAGCAGAGTAGACTGTTGGGATTGCAGACTGTTGTGATTGGTCTACTCTGCTCTGATTGGTCAGATGGCCCAGTCTGTTGTGATTGGTCTACTCTGCTCTGATTGGTCAGATGCCCCAGTCTGTTGGGATTGGTCTACTCTGCTCTGATTGGTCAGATGGCCCAGTCTGTTGTGATTGGTCTACTGCTCTGATTGGTCAGATGGCCCAGTCTGTTGTGATTGGTCTACTCTGCTCTGATTGGTCAGATGGCCCAGTCTGTTGTGATTAGTCTACTCTGCTCTGATTGGTCAGACGCCCCAGTCTGTTGTGATTGGTCTACTCTGCTCTGATTGGTCAGATGGCCCAGTCTGTTGTGATTGGTCTACTCTGCTCTGATTGGTCAGATGGCCCAGTCTGTTGTGATTGGTCTACTCTGCTCTGATGACTTGTTTCAAGCAGTTCAGAATTGCCTCTTTCTTTTAGGAGACAATAACTCCATTTATCTGCACTGTGATCTTTGAAACTTTGCAGAGTTTTACATTCACAAATGGCTTTATTACACACTACATGAAAGATGCTATCTGAAAATCATAAATGGGGCACTTCAAATAAATAAATAAATAAATAAATAAAGTAACAGTAACGAGCATTAACTGATAACCACGGCTCAAACCCACCAAATCTAAATCTAAATAATGACAGAAGATATAAGGTACACAATGTGCTTAATTCTGCATCAGACATAAGGAATATTGTTATATCCTTTTCCAACTACTTTTCAGTAGCTGGAAACAGAAAGTGCATAAGGTATCAGTGTCGAGCTCTACAGTTGCTGCCGTACATCATACACCGTCATCTTTAGATTCACATAGCGCATTAAAAAGTTTTCAGAAATCTGTTTCTGCTAATGTCTGCTGTTTTTTGATGTACTTTTTTATTAAATCAAAACATGGCACTGCTGCAGTACAAATGGGACTCGTGAAATAAATCATTTCGGCTGTGTAGGACCAACATTTCTGTTGTGATGGTCTTCATTACTTTGTAAAGCCCCCGGAGCATTTTTATATGTGTTGATGAGCGCGCCGAACAAACGCTCAGTGACACGCCGAGTTCATAAAGCGTTCCTGAGCCCGAGGCACTCGATGAAACAGTCCTCGGATAAAATCAGCAAGAGATTGTGTGTGTGTTTCTGAATCCAGAATACTATTAGAGACCGCCTGAATCTCAATACTACATACATATGCAACACACACACACACACACACACACAGAGCAGGGTTCGTTGTCATGCGAATCTGCAGTTCTTTTCATTTCAAACGCGTTGAATGAGATCGGATATAAGTCTGAGTCTCTTACCAGGTACGCAAACAGAATGGGAGAACGGATTATCCACCAGTAGCCCATGTTGATGTTCCTTTCCCAGCATCTGCATATGACAAAACATCACAGTCCATCGATTTAAACGTGGAAAAATGCTCATTCATAATTCATTTTTCATAAAACTGGCAACAACAGAAAGGGAATTTTGTATTTAAAGTCAACCTGGAATGCTTTTGCAACCCGTTTATCACTTACAGTTCAGTCTAGAAGAAAAGAATGACTGAAGGTCTATACAGTACTCTAGGGTTCTTGGCCTCATTTTAAAGAACCCTGTATGCGAAACAGGTTAAATATAAGAAAAATTAAATTAAATGATTTATACTTTCACGCTAAACAGATTATTTCAATTTTTTTCAAGTGATAAATTATGTTTATGTTCAAGCCGTTTAATACATAACATGTAATAAAAAAAAATAAAAAAAAATAATGAATTAAAGCCAAATCCATAGAACGATCCCATGATGGAACCGCTGGAAGGTTCTATATATGAAGCGTCTGACGGAACACTTGAAGATTCCATATAGAAGCTATTCTTCTAAGACTGATGTAACATATTTCAGAATGAAACTGCATATTTAATAAGAAACAACAGAAATCTGAGGTGCAGAACTTTATTGTATGTATCCATCAGGAACTGATTGGACGGTCGATTGAGAGGCAGGCCAAGTTTGATTATAGTTTGTATTTTATAATAACATTCCCTGATAAATAAGTCCAGAAACTAGTAATCAGAGTGAGTTTAGATGTCATATTGATTTTAATGTGTGTGTGTTTCTATCTGAGCACTGATTACACTTCTAAGTAAGAGTAGCAGGTCTTTAATGAGGTGTTTCCATGCCAACGATCTGATTCATTGTTATTTGAACGGAGGCGTTTTTTCCCCTCCACCATTTAATAACTATTTCTAATAAACCCCGATCATACACCTGTGAACATGAGTGCATCTGTTCCAACAGGGTGAGCTCATTAGCTTCCGTAGGTATTTATCTGCTACGTTTTTGTCTTTCACAAACTTATAAACACACACACAACTTGTTTTAATCCTCTAGACGTGTCTGAACTGGAACCAGTGTGAGTTTGTAATACCCCAGCGGGACTCGTTTCTCAGACCATGGAGAAATCCTAATTCATTTACAAGTCAAATCCACACTGGATTTAAAATGAAATAGTGTACGGCAGACCTCCATGTCTTTCCAATAATCTTTCAATATAAATTTGTGGCATAATGTTGTTTACAACAAAAAATTATTTTGACTCGTCCCTCTTTTTCTTAAAGAAAAGAGGCACTTACAATATCTCCTTTAAACTGTTATTTCTTTAGTATCTTTATTTTATTTTTAAACGTGCTTTTATAAATAAACTAAACAGGGATAATTTTGTGGGTGATATAAAAGCAGAAATGTCCTTTTATAAAAGTACTCGCAATAATTCACTTGTTAATTAACTTGTTTTAAGCACAGAATATTCATTGAACTTTTGTACGTGTTTATTCATAATTGTTAATAATAATAATAGCGCACAACAAAGAAGAAATCCAACAAGGACAATAAACCCATACAAATATGTATGATATATGTAGTGTCACCACATCACCCACTGATGAATCAAATGAAATTAAAAACAATTAACAGAAAGGCAAATAAAAGAGGGGGAGTTATAATAAATGCAGTGAGAAAAAGAGAAAGAGGGACCAAATACAGAAGCGATGAGAGAGAAAAGCGTTAATAAGAGCGACTTCATCAACTCTTGTGATTGGTGCAGAAGGAAAGGGGCGTGGCTAACGTCACAGGAGTCTCATCGGCTCTCCAAACACTCACACTGATCCAGAATCAGGCGGCATGAGACACTGTTTACGCTTGAGAACCTATCAATACATTGCCTTTGTATATATCAGTATATAGTGTGTGTCCAACTGCACTTTAAGCACACACAGCCACGCATACTTATGACACACGCACGCAGGAGTTTCAGTGTGTGTTATTAAAGAGCAACGGGCCGCTGTGTGAGTGTTTTCTCCTGCGTTGGCTCTGAACACGACTGTTGGGGAGACCGGCCGAGTGAACGGCTCATAAAGAGCTGATGGTCTCTCAGTCTGACGGACGGTTATGTCCTCCCACACACACTCACTCCACATCTGACAGGACATCAGGACTCACTGTACGGCTCCCGCAGGACTGACCCTGCCAGATGTGCTTTAGCGGGAACATTCACTACAGTTGTTTTATAGCCCTCAAGTGGCACATTGTTTGGAGAACAACATTGGGATGGATAAAAAAAATAATAAAAAAATAATATATATATATCAAATATTTATTTTATTATGATTAATCAATTTATCAAATAAATAATTGACAGATAAAAATGCTGCACTAGAATATTATGTATTATCAAATATAAAATAATTTATTTATTATTGAATTATTTATTATAAAAAGAAAATATAACGGAACTTTTAACACTGATTTTTGTCTCTCTCTCTCATATATATATATATATATAGAGAGAGAGAGAGAGAGATAGAGTGAGAGATAGAGAAAGTATCTTTTTAACACTATTATAGTTTTATTTATATTTTGAATACGTTTTTTTATATTGTTCTTTTTCATTTTAATGCAGTTATTTTTTTAGTATTTAATTTTTTTAAACAATATATCTAGATAGTTTCTATTATTCAATTATATAATTATTCTATTCTATAATTCAGCAATTTTAATTTACTGCATTAAAGGAAATTTAGAAAAAAAAATTTGCTACTAGCTGAATATAATAAGTTTTTTTATATTTAATTTTAATTAATTTCATGTTTATTTTATCTCAAATATTTTATTGTTTAATTTTTAGCTAACTATAATAACCCTGCTTTCATGTACAGTAAACCATAAGTGAGATTTCAATATATGGATTCCTTAAACTCACCAAAAATGTGCCAAGTGAAATTGAAAACCTTTTAAAAAAATTAAAAAATCATCGATATAAATCAGGACAATTTACATGTTTATATAGAGAAGCACAAAATGTGTTTGGACATTTAGTCACTGCATTATGAAACATGAAAAACACGTCTGTTTTAGTTTCAAATCCTTTAAATCATCAGATCAGCAGCTGATTTTAAGGAAGTGTGCAAAAATGATGAAAAATGATTTAACATATTATCTAATGCAAAGACAGTTTTAAGTGTCCAAACACTGGAGTCAGAACTGAAGTGAAAGACACGTACTCTTCATTCTCATACAGGTATTTGACAGTCATCCACGGCAGCACAAACATGAGCGGCGCACCTGCAACACAACACACACACACACAGTCAGTCGGCCAATCAGAAGCCTCGGCAGCTAATTAATATTCATCACGCTGGCTTATCTTGAATAAACCACTTCAAAGTCAACGTAGCGTCAGAAACACTTCAGACGTTTGCTCAGTGAAAGTGGAAACGAGTGTTTGGTGGCCTTTCTTTGAGGCTCACACACACCCCAGCCGATGCAGAGGTAAATGTAGAAGTAGTTCCTCTCGGAGAAGACGGTGATGACCAGAAGACTGTGCAGATACAAGCCCTCCACCAGCAGCCAGCAGTTGTTGGCCATCACGCTGTACTGCATCATCACCATGGCAACGCGACAGCCAGTCACAGTCTGAGGAACGGATGACACTCTGATGACACACCCGCCGACCAATCACAGACCGTCTGGTGTGCGGCAAAATGTATATCATTATGAACATGGATGGATGGATATATAACAGATTGTATTCCTTTTAAACACTTTTATAGAATATTATAGGGTTGCAACTTATCAATAATGAAAATAAACATATTCGATAACAAATTTGATTATTGATACTACACAGATAAATTCACTATATATTTTTCTATCCCTAAAAATTGCACATTGTTTGGAGGACAATATTGGGCAGGATGTGTAATAGTGTATACTAATTTTTTAAAATAGTGGATATAACTTATTTAATTAAAAAATTATATACAATTATTCATTAAAAAAATCCAAACATAATTCCATATTAAAAAATATTCATTAATAATACATGTAATACTAATAAAACAAAAAATAACAGAAATTTGAATATCATAAAAGTGAAAGCAACTGGAAAAAAATAACAAGAAATATGTATATTTACAAATGTATTATTTTATTTTTTATCAAAACGAAAATTTATATTTATATATATATATATATATATACATACTATATATTATATAATATATTAAATAAATATTAATATATATATATATATTTTTTTAAATATATATTTTTTATATATATATATATATATATATATATATATATATATATATATATATATATATATATATATATATATTTAAAAATCACACTTTGCAATAAAACAACTGTATTTCAAATAAACGTAGAAAATTTGTATTAAATAAAAAAAAAACTTTATTGGCTCAAGCTTATTTTTTTAGTTCACAAATATATGGATGGATGGATAGTCTTAGCTGACTGAAACTAAAATCTCTCATTCACACAATTACACATTTGGTCTTCCATGATGTGCTGGGAAACTTCAGCTGTCAGTTATACACTCACCTAAAGGATTATTAGGAACACCATACTAATACTGTGTTTGACTCCCTTTCGCCTTCAGAACTGCCTTAATTCTACGTGGCATTGATTCAACAAGGTGCTGAACGCATTCTTTAGAAATGTTGGCCCATATTGATAGGATAGCATCTTGCAGTTGATGGAGATTTGTGGGATGCACATCCAGGGCACGAAGCTCCCGTTCCACCACATCCCAAATATGCTCTATTGGGTTGAGATCTGGTGACTGTGGGGGCCATTTTAGTACATTGAACTCATTGTCATGTTCAAGAAACCAATTTGAAATGATTCGAGCTTTATGACATGGTGCATTATCCTGCTGGAAGTAGCCATCAGAGGATGGGTACATGGTGGCCATAAAGGGATGGACATGGTCAGAAACAATGCTCAGGTCGGCCGTGGCATTTAAACGATGCCCAATTGGCACTAAGGGGCCTAAAGTGTGCCAAGAAAACATCCCCCACACCATTACACCACCACCACCACCACCAGCCTGCACAGTGGTAACAAGGCATGATGGATCCATGTTCTCATTCTGTTTACGCCAAATTCTGACTCTAACATCTGAATGTCTCAACAGAAATCGAGACTCATCAGACCAGGCAACATTTTCCAGTCTTTAACTGTCCAATTTTGGTGAGCTCTTGCAAATTGTAGCTTCTTTTTCCTATTTGTAGTGGAGATGAGTGGTACCCGGTGGGGTCTTCTGCTGTTGTAGCCCATCCGCCTCAAGGTTGTGTGTGTTGTGGCTTCACAAATGCTTTGCTGCATACCTCGGTTGTAACGAGTGGTTATTTCAGTCAAGGTTGCTCTTCTATCAGCTTTAATCAGTCGGCCCATTCTCCTCTGACCTCTAGCATCAACAAGGCATTTTCGCCCACAGGACTGCCGCATACTGGATGTTTTTCCCTTTTCACACCATTCTTTGTAAACCCTAGAAATGGTTGTGCGTGAAAATCCCAGTAACTGAGCAGATTGTGAAATACTCAGACCGGCCCGTCTGGCACCATCAACCATGCCACACTCAAAATTGCTTAAATCACCTTTCTTTCCCATTCTGACATTCAGTTTGGAGTTCAGGAGATTGTCTTGACCAGGACCACACCCCTAAATGCATTGAAGCAACTGCCATGTGATTGGTTGATTAGATAATTGCATTAATGAGAAATTGAACAGGTGTTCCTAATAATCCTTTGGGTGAGTGTTTATAGTTTGTGAACCCGTTACTGACTGGCAGCATTTGTCTGATATTTCACATATCAAAGCAAGTCACCATCTGTTTACAGAAGGAGACATTTGAAGAGCTTTATTTGAGACACTCACAGGACATTCCTCTGGATTCGGCTGTACCTGTAATCATCTGAGCGCCCGTACCTGTCCGCTGACCCAGCGCTGCCCCTGGAAGCTCTGAGCACTGCTCATCCGGTCCAGGAGAGCGTCTTTGAGGAGGATGGAGAGTGCGCGCAGGATGAAGGAGCCGAACAGGTTCATGTGGATGTTGTTCCTCATGCAGTGCAGCTTCCTGAGGGAAAGACCCATAAGAGAACTGAGATCTGTGATCAGTGGGAGATATCACCAAAATATGACACATTTTCTTTTTACATTTTCAGACACATGTGTAATATATGGTTACCTGAACGAGACCAGGACGGCCAGAGCGAGAGTTAGCGCTGCCAGAGACAGTGAGTATCCAACGGTGTACATGACTCTGAACTTACTGAGGATCTGACCATACTGCTTCTGCACACACACACACACACAAACAGGGAGAGGGATTAGCTGACCGTTAGCCCCATCGCTCAGAAACATCATTAAGTCATTAAACTGGCGGTCTCACCTGTCCTGGGTCGTCCTGCTCACACTCGCTGGTGTTTTTCCCACGAGCCCATCTGCCGTCAGCGCCACACACACGATAAACCAAGCCCTGATGAACTGATCAAACACAGCGGAAACACACACCGGTCACAGCTGGACTGATTCTACATGAAGACCAAGCCAGATTACTGAGATCCCCAGCAATGCTAAACTAAAACCACACGTGAACTATTACAAATCATTTCCAGGAACGGAAATAAAACTAAAATAAGTAGAAAATAAATAGTAGATGGGAAACTTAAACTTAAAAAAACTTGCTGAAATGTTGCCTTGGCTGAAAATAAGTTGAAGTTGAAGAACTAAAATGACTAAAACTAAGCTATATATATATAGTGTGTTGTAAGGACACTTTATTTGAAGGGGTGTGCATAAGACTGACATGACACTGTCATAAACATGACATAACACCTGTTATGAACATGAAGGAGTCTTTATGAATGTTTATGACTGTTGTCATTAAGTGTCATTCGGTAAATTATGACACTTTTAATGCAAAGTTGAGATTGTTTAAAATGTCTTTGTTATGACAACTTGACATTAACCAAGAAATCATAACCTGTCAACCTGTCACAAATATGTCATAACAGGTCTAATTATCAAACTTAAAGAAGTTATATAGCTTTGCGTTAACATTACCCTATCATATGTTAAAGCATTTGACAGTGTAATAACCCTTAATGACATCTTTATAACCAGTACAATGTGTTCCACTTTACTTGAGGACAAGTAAAATATTCATGACACAGTTATAATGGTGTCATGACGGCCAAAGTCAAAACCAACCACATATGACAGGGTAATGTAATGTTAACGCAAAGCTAAATAACTTCTTTAAGTTTGATAATTAGACCTGTTATGACATATTTGTGACAGGTTGACAGGTTATGATTTCTTGGTTAATGTCAAGTTGTCATAACAAAGACATTTTAAACAATCTCAACTTTGCATTAAAAGTGTCATAATTTACCGAATGACACTTAATGACAACAGTCATAAACATTCATAAAGACTCCTTCATGTTCATGACAGGTGTTATGTCATGTTTATGACAGTGTCATGTCAGTCTTATGCACACCCCTTCAAATAAAGTGTTACCAAGAATATTAATGACTTATGATGGTTTCTTTTTAAAGCATGTATTGTGTCAACCTGGCTACATCCAAACGGCTCAAGGGTTGAAGGTCTGGGCAAAAATGCATAATAAAGAACTCGTATCATAGCACTATATTATTTACAGTCAATATTATTAAACAACTGCAACACAGATGTTTGTCCCTTTAACCACGTTAAACTATTGAGCTTGTCGAGGCAGATATTAATGCAAACATAATAAAATACCGATAAAGATATTTTGACAATATGGTTCAAACTGACGATGTCACTCCCTCTATTTTTTAAAGAGGAAAATAAATCCATAAAATAACAATTTAAAAAGCCATACATAGACAGTGAAAGCATGTTTAAGTGTCGATGAAAGCATGATTTATGTAAAATGTATTTAGGATGATGAATGGGACATAAAAATTGACTGATATTTGAATACAAATATTAAGTGCAATATGCTAACGGCGAAAGCATGATATTTTAGTGTCAATAAAAGCATAATTTAGGTTAAATATACATAGGCATATAACCTATATGCATATAGGATGATGAATCAGGACATGAAAACTGACTGATACTTTAATTAAAAATAAATTATTTATTATTAATTTATTAATATTTTAATAATATTAAATTATATATATATAATATGTATTAATATTTTAATAATTTTATTCATTTTAAAATAAAAACATTACAGACTGAAAAGAGTGAAAACTATCAGATAATCCTGTTACTGATGTCAGGAGTAAGTCATGACCTGAAAATGGCCCATATTTACTGCTTTATAATCTGACATTTAGATCATATCTCCTAACAGGACAGTTATTTCTATCAGTCATGACTCTGAGAGCTTTACCTTTGCGGTACCAGGGCAGATACCAGGGGCAGGACACGTTAACGGTGGTGCCGGCGGGGCCATCGGGCCAACACACGTACTGATCAAACGTCCTGTTACACACCAGCCCTGAAACACACACACACACACGGAAAGAGAGAGTGATGGAAATACTAGCGCATCATAAACATAGCAGCTGTTCATCAGGAGCCGGTTCGTCAGACCTGAGGCTGGAGGTGTGTGGATGAAGCTCTGAATACACTCATTCGTGTAGATCCTCCATTGCTCCTGCAGCAGTTTCAGGGATTTCCCAGAAGACACCTGTGAATATTACACTTCATTCAGATTAAACATTTACAGAGACTATTTCTGCAGTATTACAGATGAATACACACTTTACAGTAGAGAACACGTTAGGACTGCATTTCAATGATGGTAGAAAATTATATTAAATCATAATCTAATGTAATGTTATATAATATAATTATTGCTGGGCAACGATTAATCGCATCCATATAAAAGTTTTTGTTTACAGAATATGTCTGTACTGTGTATAATTATTTTGTAAATATATAATACACACACAAATGCATGTATATATTTAAGAAAAAGTATTATTTATATATACAATATTTATATATAATATAAATTATGTATACATATATTTACAGTATACATGCAAATATTTCTTAAATATATACATGAATGTGTGTGTGTGTATTATATATTTACAAAATAATTATACACACATATATTATTTAAACAAAAACTTTTATTTTGGATGCGATTATTCGTTGCCCAACACTAAATATAATATTAATAAATAATAAATGCCTATAATTAATAAATAATAAACGCAATATAAATGCCTCATAAACTCCTCATAAACGCATTATAAACGCCTCATAAACGCCTCATAAACGCATTAAAAAATGCCTCATAAATGTCTCATAAACACCTCATAAACGCCTCAAACGCCTAATAAATGCCTCATAAACTCCTCTTAAACGCCTCATAAACGTCTCATAACCACCTCATAAATGCCTCATAACCGCCTCGTAAACGCCTCATAAACGCATCGTAAACGCCTCGTAAACTCCTCATAAACGCTTTGTAAATGCCTCATAAACACATTATAAATGCCTCATAACCGCCTCGTAAACGCCTCATAAATGACCTGTTCTTCTGATCTGTCCTGATCATGATGCGGGTTTAATCACAGAAACCTGCTTTTATGTTGAAGTACAGCAGATCTGAAATTCCCT